TGAACAATGTTACCAATGCTTTAATTCTATTTATAGAGTAGAGAGTGAGTAATTTTTGTCTATAATATAAATCACCCTATTGAGTTTATTATATGAATGTAGGGATTTATCAATAGTTTATTGTTTTGCAGGTTTTTATTTTTTTAGAAAATATATATATAAATAAAGGTAAAATTGACAACTTATCAAACTTGATGAAAGCATATAAAAAAAAAAAAGAGTACATATATTGAAAAAATAAAGGGACAATTTTTTAAAAAAGTACCTCTTAAATTTCAAAATTTTAAATAAAAAATTACTATAAAAATACGTTATAATTCGTTTTTTTAAATATAGTTAATTACTAGTTTAAGATTGATTTTAAAATTTTAAAATTGAAGGGGCAGTTTTTTGTTGTTGATTTTTTTCCAAAAGTAAAAGTGTGTGTTGAAAAGGGATGAAAAAATGGGGAGTTGTTGCAAAGTTTGAATGGAGACATAAACACAATAAATGCAGAGAATCAGGAATTGCCACATTATTCATGATGAAGTGTAGTAGAAGTATTAAAAGGCAACAAGGCAAGGTCACAGGACCTAATTAATATATGGTCCCTCCCTATACCCTACAAATATTTGGAGATTGCAATAGAATTAAATATTAATTATAAGAATTTTATGGGCCCAGGAAACATTCTTTTTTAAATTATTGATAATAATAATAGTAATAATAGAATAATGAAAGTAAGGAGCAATTAGGAAGAAAATGTTTGAAGAAGGGGAAGAGTTTCTCAATTCACATGGCGTGTTTCCATTGTCACGGGCCCTGTGTCCCGTAGTGCTGACGTGTCATCTGCCTGTTTACTTATTATGGCTTTGACCACTCCCTCTTCTCTCCTTTGAATCCATGCCCACATATTTGACCACCCTCCACGTGCTCCCTTTTCTGAATATTGTTGTTCCTGTTTTTTCCCCACAAGTCTTCTTAATCACAGTACTATCCCTATCCCAAAAAAAAAATCATAATAGAGAATTACTCCTCTGGTCCTGTATAAGGTAGAGAAATTTTTTTTAATCCTATTTATAAGTCATTTTATTAAATTTTTAGTATGAATATACTAACTTGTCATTCATTTATTACAGTATAGATAGATTTTTTTTAAAGGTATTTATATTAAATGGGAGTAAAGTTGGGAAGCTGTTATATTTTAATGGAGAGTTAATGTAATTTAAGATTTTTTTTATCTATGTGAAATATACTAGAAGTACCTTGTAAATAGGATCGGAGGAGTAAGTTTCTAAATTCAGAACTGTTTGCAATGCTTGGACTCATAAATATTAGCTTTAAGTCTTGTACATATGTGGTCACATTTTTTGGATTAATACCATGCCAAATGGAGGGAAAATGACTATAAAATATCTATTAAATTTTAAAATAATAAATAAATGATGTTAATTTTTATAAAGATATTGATTATTCTTGTAAAGTTTTTCACATGTTAAAATCAATTCTTTATTATTTTAAAAATCAAAATATATTTATTTTTTATTTTTAAATAACTAACCCGACATAGACAATGACAGATACTGAAGTGTCCTATTTATCATTGACGTGAGGGAAATGAAAGCTAACAGGAAAAAAAACAAAACCTTCGGGGACTTAATTAAGTACAAGTGAAATTATGAAGCTTGCAAATTAATTATCTCATTTTTTATGTTACGAATGTTGAAAGTGGCAATTTTTTTTTATTATTTATAACACACTAAATTAAACTATATTTTTTGAAAACAAAAAGTATCGAACCACCTAAACTCTGGGCAACTAAAAAGGAAAAATCTAAGCAAGTTCTTGCTGGTCCAACAAAGGCATTCATTATTACGCTTTTTAAAAAGATCAATGATAGTTTCAGTCATTTAATTTTCTTCAAAAGATCATTATTATGATCGCATATAAATTTTTAAATTTGTTCAAATAATCTGTTAGGACAAACAAAGGCCATGGTAGCCACATTTATAAAGTTTTGTTGTTATCATTATTATAATTATTATTTTATTATTTAAACCACACATGATTTGTCGGAGGGAAAAAAAATCCAAACCACACGCTTTGATGCAGTCAAAGAATGATGCCGATGGGACCGCATGATTGGTTGTGTTTATTTATATTTTCTCCATCTTTGAAAACGTTGGCAGTTTTGGTGGGAAAGTTGATTCTTTATTTATGATTTTGCTTCCCATTTGGTCTAATTTTGGATTTTAAGTCAATGGTATTTTGAAACCAAGGTAGTAGTATGATAATATATCTTCCGATAATTGTTTAGTCTAAATTTTTTTTGCCGTTAGATAATTTTTTTTAGTTTATAAAATTAAGTATATTAGATTGAATATTAAATAAGTTCTATGGAGCTTTTTTATGTTTTTTTTTTATACTATTGTGTTTTGTTTCTGGATCAGGTGCACTTCTCAAAGGGTGTGCACCAAATATATAATTATAATTCTTCAAATTTAATTTTGAATATTCTAATTTATCTCTTGAGATGATGCCAATCAGTTTCTAAAGCTTATATTGAGATGATACCGAGCATATAATTCTCCACAATTGAATTATTATTTTTATTTTTATTTATTTAAAATAAAAACATTATTACTATTTACATATGATATTCTTACAACCTGATATCACTTTAGTATATATGGTTTTAAATTTTTGTATTCATTATAATATATGTTGTCTCTCTTCTATCCTCCTTATGAGAAAATTGTTGGGTTCTCCCAATCCTGTTTATGAGAAATAACAGCTTACCTAGAGTATTTATTGAAGAATTTCTTTTATACCCTCATTAAAAATAAGTATTTATTAATGAGACCAATGATTAAACGTTACCAGTTAATTATTGAATGAGGGCATTAAAAAATTGACATTTTTAATTTTTTTTATCCTTATAGAATTAGTTATTCTTCTTTTATGAAAAGGATGAAAGAGTATTAAATATACCTTTTAATAGGGGTAGCTCCAATTAACACGTCTATACATCAATTTTATTCTATAAAGTGAGGATTAGTTAAACTTAGAATCTAACTTAAAGTAAAGTGGCTCATCTTTTAATGGAAAGAGAAAGATAATTTTGAAAGAAGAGAAAGACCAAAAAGATCCTCACAGTTGTAGAAGAAGTGCCCTCAATGGTGTGGCACTCGATTATCCATTATTAATGCTTCCATAAATCAAAATAGTCCCATGTGTTGGAATCATTCATTGCTTACCCTTGATTATTGGCACCTCTAACACTTAACTCAACAATTATGATTAATCTACAACCTAACTCTCAAAGGGTTTTAGGTATTATAGTTTTCTTATACTACCTCCAGTCATTAATATAAGATCTAGTTTAATTTTTATTTTAATCCTAAATATAAGACTGTAATTCACTTTGTCTCTCATATTGATGTATTTTTTTAAAACTAGTTCTTCTAATAATGATAATTCTAAGCAATAATATTTGAATAACAAGGATATTTTAGAGAAATACAATACTTATTTATTACAAATAATTAACTTAAATTATTTTTTTTACTCTATTTAAATTAGTCAATTAGTTTTTATATTTAGGACCGGAGGTAGTATAATTACATGGTACCTGGCATTATTGTATGAATAGGTTTGAGCATTATCCAACATCTTTATGATTAATGATATTTTAATTCAGTGGCACGCCCTGCAAGTAAAAGGTTATAGGTTTAATTTTTTATTTTGTAACATTGGCCAATTAGTGCTAGCCTCTTTAATTTAAAGCATTTTTATGGGAAAAAACTAAACATTTAGTGGCGAAAAATTCAAATATGCTTGTAAAAGATGGATTGAAAACGTGTTTGGATAAGAACAAAATCATAGTTTCAGAAGTACTTTTACAGTATACGAAGTAAATATGTGAAGAAGTCTATCTCGATTTGCAGAAAAATATTTATGAGGGGTTATCCAAGCACCCCTTAAATACAGGACAGAAAAGCAAGCAATTGTCTGATTGCCACCAAAACAAGATACCTGTGCTGCGGGGGGAAAAACCATATGCATTCATCTGCATCTCTTTACTATACCTATTTGTCTTGTTTTGAACTTTGATCATCAATTAACACCTTTTGGGGTTCTTAAGGTGGCACATAAAGGGTTCTTATGGATTTTAGAAATAACAAAATGCTTCTACACTCTTTCCCCCCTCATCGAATAATGTTTTTCTATAGTAAAGAAATTTTTTGTTTGAGAGTTATTATGGGCAATTTTTGGCCCCAAAAACGTTATCATGGATGTTTTATTTATGCATATAGTTTGTGTTTAAAAAGATACTTGCATCTAATAAAAAAGTATTTATATTATAACTCCTGGAACACTCAACATTCGTTCTTATCTTCTAATGAGTTTATTTTTTTGATCAAAAATTTTTTATCAGACACATCAATAATTATACTCCTCCGGTCCTAATTATAAGACCCAATTGACTTATTTGAGGAGATTAAGGAAGTAAGTTAAGTTGATTATTTATAATAAATAAGTGTTGTTATTCCTAAAATATCCTTGCTAATTAAGTATATTGGCTAAAACTATCATTATTAGAAGGATTATCTTGGAAAAAAATGCATAAATATAAGAGAGAAAATGGATTGGGTCTTATAATTAGGACCAAATAAAAAGTCAAATTGGGTCTTATAATAAGGATCGGAGGAGTATATATTTATATGTGTGTACATTTTTATATCCACAATTTAATTTACTAACAAATATGCACCCCAAAAATGACCTAGTTTTGTTTATGTTCTGCCATAATTTGTAGGACTGTTAACCCAATACAAAGGCCCAGTTGGTAAAAATGGAAAAAGATATTTTGAAGGCCCTACTGACTATAAAAAGGCCTACAAATCCAATGGCCCATATTATTGGCCCAGCGGAGCTTCTTGTTGTTCCCTCCCAAAAGGAAGTTCGGGATGCCATCGTACCCAACAGCGCTGCAAGCGTTAACGCGCCAGGCATGTGCATTTGCCTTTGCAAATCCATCTCTCCAATCGCTATGGTGATAGAGACGAAGAAGAAGAGGGAGAAAGCAGTGGCGATAAGAATGGCATGGAGGGATCGGAACGGGGTTCAGAGACATTTGAGTGTTCTTTCTAATTAGCTGGTTTAACTGTGCTGATTTCTGGAAGTATTAATTCTGCGGTAATGGTACTGGGGTTAAATCAACTGATAAAGGTGTCTGCTTATAGATGCTTGAGTCATTTTTGTGCAAACCCTTTATGTTTTATTAGATTGAGTGTATTCTCAACTGCGAATTTTGGGAGTCAAAGTGAGGGGGAATGTAAAGCCAACAATATCAATGATGGGTATGATGGTTCTGTGGTTCCTGGGGAATTACGTTTTGCAGGAAGTGCCCGTGATGATACTTGTATCCCTCAAAACTTCAATTTTGGGTGTCTTAACAATGTTGAGTCGCATGAGCTCTACCAAGATGAAGTAGAAGAAGATCATGAATATGAAGGACAGCATGGTAGTGATGATGATAGTCTTGAGGTTCTTAGCACCTTTCAAGGCAGTCACAAACAGACAGTAGACATTAGGAAATTTGACATTGACGAGAATGAATATAGACACCCTTTAGTCAGAGAAACTAGCAGGTTAATTACGCTCAGGTCAGCTTGGGACCCAAAACTGGAAGGAGAATTGAGGCACTTGTTAAGAAGCCTCAAGCCCCCTCAAGTTTGTGCTGTTTTACGCTCCCAAGATGACGAGCGTGTAGCTTTGAATTTTTTCTATTGGGCTGATCGGCAGTGGCGTTATCGACATAACATTATGGTCTACTATAATATGTTGGAAGTCCTTAGCAAGACTAAACTGTGTCAAGGTGCTAGGCGAGTTCTTCGGTTGATGACCCGCAGGGGAATTAAGTGTTCGCCTGAAGCTTTTGGGTATGTGATGGTGTCATATAGTCGTGCAGGCAAGTTAAGGAATGCCCTTCAAATTTTGACCTTGATGCAGAAATCTGGTGTTGACCCTAATTTATCGATATGTAACACTGCCATATATGCCTTGGTGAAGGGGAAGAAACTGAAAAATGCACTGAGGTTCTTGGAAAGAATGCAACTAATAGGAATCAAACCCAATGCTGTTAGTTATAACTGCTTGATTAAGGGGTTCTGTGATTTAAATCAAATTGAGGGTGCATTGGAGCTTATCACTAATATGCCATCTAAAGGATGCATGCCTGATAAAGTTAGTTACTATACGGTGATGACTTTCCTCTGTAAGGAGAAAAGAATTGAAGAACTGAAGCAGTTAATGGAGAATATGGTAAGGTACAGTAAATTAATACCAGATCAGGTTACATATAATACACTTATCCATGTACTTTCAAAGCATGGACATGCAGATGATGCTCTTTCTTTTCTAAAGGAAGCAGAAGAGAAAGGTTTTCGCATTGATAAGGTTGGGTATAGTGCAGTAGTTCACTCTTTTTGCAAGAAGGGCAGGATGGGTGAGGCAAAGAATTTAGTGAACAATATGTATGTGCAGGGTTGTATACCTGATGTAGTGACATATACTGCCGTTATTGATGGATTTTGTCGCACGGGAAATGTAGATGAAGCTAAAAGGATGCTGCAACAGATGTACAAACATGGGTGCAAGCCCAATACTGTATCATATACAGCTCTGTTGAATGGCCTCTGTCGAAGTGGAAAGTCAGTTGAGGCAAGAGAAATGATAAATACAAGTGAGGAGCATTGGTGGAGTCCAAATGCTGTCACTTACAGTGCTGTCATGCATGGGTTGCGGAGGGAGGGGAAATTATCTGAGGCCTGTGATCTGGTCAGGGAAATGATTAAAAAGGGGTTTTTCCCAACACCAGTTGACATTAACTTGCTTCTCCAGTCTCTATGTCAAGAAGGGAAAATAACTGAGGCTAAAAAATTTATGGAAGAATGTCTGAATAAGGGCTGTGCCATTAATGCCGTCAACTTTACCACTGTGATTAACGGCTTTTGTCAGATGGGTGACTTAGATGCTGCTTTGTCTGTGCTTGATGACATGTATTTAAGCAACAAACATCCTGATGCAGTCACATATACGGCACTATTTGATGCATTTGGGAAGAAAGGTAGATTGGAAGAGGCTTCTGAACTCATCATGAAAATGCTTAACAAAGGTTTGGTTCCTACTCCGGTAACATATAGGACAGTCATACACCGGTATTGTCAATGGGGCAGAGTGGAGGATTTGTTGAGATTATTGGATAAAATGCTTGCCAGGCAAACATTCAGAATGGCTTACAATCAGGTTATTGAGAAGCTCTGTGATTTTGGGAACCTTGAGGAAGCTGATAAACTTTTAGGGAAGGTTTTGAGAACTGCTTCAAAACTTGATGCTAAGACATGCCATGTTCTGATGGAAAGCTATCTGAGTAAAGGGATGGCTCTGTCAGCATATAAGATGGCTAGTAGAATGTTTAGCCGCAATTTGATTCCTGACCTTAAGTTGTGTGAGAAAGTGAGCAAGAAACTGACAACGGATGGTATGTTGGTGGAGGCTGATAACCTCATGTTAAGATTTGTTGAGCGTGGATGTATAATGCCACAGAAGGGGACTCATCTGTCGAGTTAATTTTTGGTTGAGATTCAAATGGTACATACATCGTATTTTTGCTTTATCATTTTACATTGTTGATATTCCATATTCTTTAGTTAGGCTTTCACATAATATTTATACTTATTTAGTCATACATTTAACCTCCTTAATACTGATAGATTATGTCTTGATTCTTTGCAGTTGTTCACTTGTTCTTACGTAATGTTACTGCTGGTTCTTATGGATCAATGTTGAAAGTCCCCCCCCCCCGGGGCTATGCGTTTCCCGTATTGAAGATGAAACAATTGGGAGCGGATGCCCTTTATTGAACTGTTGAAGGATCTCTCAAAGTTTCTTGGTGCAAATGTTAATAAATAAGTATAATGGTGCCTATCATAAGAACAATGATGCTTTACTTAGATTCATAGATTCCCTTGCAAAGAACGTAGACGATGAATTTGGCTCTGTATATGCCTGACCTGGGCGAAGGAGTTGTGAGGTCAAGTGTATCAAGCTATGCTCACATGGAGATGTGCTTTGCGGGCTGCCTTGAGAATGCAATGTAGGTATGATGTTACCATTCTAATCTTAATCTGTTTTCAAATTAGCTTCATGAGTGAATCACTTACTGTTGATGCTTCTCTTTCCTTTTTCTCCACTGAGAGAACCCATCTTCCTGAATTAATGCAACAATTGTCCTTCTTCTGTCAAGTCTTGTGATCAACGTCTCATTGATACGAAATACTGAAATATAGCAGCCTATATTCACAGAACATTAACAATACCGATCATTTCTCATCCTTCTTCGCCAATAACTAATTTTCTGCCTAGAATTGTTGTCCTCATGGCTTTTTGACTGTTTTACCTAGGAAGACAGTGGCTAACAATAAACTGAAACATGACCACTCACTCAAATCAGTTGCCAATATGATGAAAATATAGCTATAATTTTCTTATTTAAAAATTCTATTTATTAAACTGTGCTTCATGTCAAAGATGGAGCTGTCTTGAATACGCTATTTCTGTGCTCTTGTTGCCAACATCCAATATAGTGGCCCTTGCAGTGCTAACAATCAACTGAAGCATCACCACTCAATTTAGCTGCCAATATGTATATGAATGAATCAGGATATATCTCTAATGTTGCCCACCAACTTTATGTCATGTCAAAGACGGAGCTTTCTTAAACATGCGGTTTATGTGTTTCTTGTTGTATTTACCTTTTGTGTTCACCTTGTAACTGCAGAGAATACAGCTGCAAAGAATAATTGTCGGTTGGCAGAGACAAGAGCAATGTTGGTTTTAGCTGACTGTTAGGAGAAACCAAGAACTCTTGATTTCTTGACATGTTAAAAAAATGTCGGGAACCTTTTTACTTCCATGTTGGTTGAAGCACGCTTGATGGCATCAAATAGTTGAGTGGATAACCATGAAGATCCCATTGTGGTGATGAAGAAAAACGAAGATGATGGATGTTCCTTGTGGATGACAATAATGGGTCCAAACATAATTTTGGTGACAGGATGATGGCATTGAAGCTTTTGACCCAACCTTGTGTCAAATGGCTTTTGTACTCTCACCTCTGTTACTTTCATCTCTTCAGCTTCAGAGTTATGAACATCAACCTCGGATGATGTGAGAATGTAATAATTCTTTTTGGACCAGCTTCCAAAAATATCGATGATATTGGAATCAGTTTTTCCTACAATTCCTTTGTATTTGGTTGGATACTTTGTATAGTTAAAGCCTTGAAGGTAGGAGAACTTTCTGGTCCAATAAGATCTTGATGGTAACGGCTGCTTCGTTGCTCTAATCATGTCGATCCGTTTAGGGGCCAGTTTAACACGCGATGTTTTTTTTCCTGATAAAAAAAAAAAAAAAGACACATGATGTTGCTAATGCCCTTTTCTCCTCCCCTTTACTTTCAACATCAACTTAAAAAAAAAAAAAACGACTCCTTTTTATTTTTAGAAGCTACTGAACCTTTTAAATCAATTTTCAAAGTTAATTTTAGCAGTTTATGTCACGAGAAGATAAGGAAAAGTAAACAGAATATCATGCACGTTAAAATTGACCAAAAGATTTCCAATGAAATGCTTTGAGATTGCGAATATAAAGATATCATTCCCCAAAATTTTGATTAGATACTTAGGGGGTGTTTGGGTATCATCCCCAACCATGGTTTGGGAAAAGAGTGAGCCAAACAGAGAGAAATAATCTGAAACTATGGTTTGGGCCAAAATCATGGTTTTAGAGCCCAAAATTATGGTTTCAGGAGAAGTGAATCCATTCTACTTCTGGCTCAAATTGGACAGTATGATTGTGCCTGTCAAAGTAGATTTCAATAATAATACGACTTTAACACCCCTCAATTATTTTTTTATAAACATATTTAATCTTGTATCTTATAAATATATATACACATATTAATTATTTATTAATTACATTATCTTATGTATTATTAATTATGTTGGTAAAAAATATATTAACAATTTTATTCATTCAAATTAAAATATATTATAAAATCTATATTTTATATAATTATCATATTAACTTATGTCTTTTTTAGTAATTTACATATATAAAAAGTGTTCTGATAATAACTATCCAAACACTCTCATTTTATCAGAATTACTTTTTCACAAAATTTATTTTTCAGAAGTTATTTTCCAAATCATGATTTGGTTTTATCTAAACACTCCTTTAATAGTAAATACGTTGAAGTTCGTTGCATGAACATTCAAAAACATATCAATCACACAACATGGGAAGATCAAAAAGGAGAAAAAGGAAAAAAAGAAAAGTAGAAAAGAAATGGCGTGCGTGTCGTGGGGACTTTATTCTCCTTTTTCTTTTTACTTTTTCAATTGGAAATCAAGGGCATTTTTCATTTATTTTTTTTATAATATCACTCAGGTTCTATATCTTTTTGTTATGTAAATAAAATATTGTGTGAGATTTGTTGTATAGTGTAATTTTATTTTGCTAATTAGTGAGCAACAATTTTAGTAGTGGTATAAAAGTGATTGTGATTAATTAAGTTTTATCAAAATATGATTTAAAAGTAAATGATTAAATTGAAAGTATGTATAGAACTTTAGAGCTCCATTGTGTCGCTTTCATCTACTTGTGCGTGCGTGCTCATTATGAAAAAATATGTGCCATAAAAAATAATGTAAAGAATGATTAAGAAAAAGGAAATACAATGGCAAAAAAAAAGAAAAAGAAAAAAAAGGAAACAGTGATTGGAAAAAAAAAAGACTTTTCACTAAAAAAAAAAAGGAGATTGTGTGATTGAGAATGAAAGTTACAACGTGTTTATCTAAGTTACTTATTGATATTCGCTCTTCTAAAAGCCAAATTTATGGTTATAATAAGTAAATTAAAAGAAGCACAGTGAAGTATCATTCATGGAAAACTTATTCACTGTGATCAAATTTAAAAACTATTACCCAATCGTTCGTGTCAAAAGGGAAGGAATTCGATTTTTCGTGTTTGGAGAGGCATACCCAACGCTGGTATCATTTAGAAAGAGCTATTTAAGCGCCCTGTTTTTTATTTGGGTTGAGCTCAAACCCCTACTTTAAATTTCTGTACAAAGAAAAAATTAAAAATTATTTATTCATCAAAATCAAATTTAAATATTTAACATTTAGAATACCAAAAATTACCAACTTCTATTAAGAATGCATAGGTTTCAAATTTTGTTCTTGTGAGTGACTATCCCAAGATTCAATTGTAAATTGCATTAATCCTATGAAACATAAAAGGTGGGCAAATTTAGGACTTGTTTAAAATGGCGTTATAAAATTTGAAAAGTAACTTTTTAATAACGATTTATAGAATATAAAATAAACTATAATGAGAGTTTTATTTCGGTTTATATAAAAGTGTTTATAAACATTTAAAAGAAACAAATCCAAATGAGCCATTAGAAAAAGTTTCAATTGAGCTCTTGTTTGGCATCACTTAGCATTTATAAGCAAGATTTGAATCAACTTATACTCATGCAAAAATTTTAAAAATTATTTTGAAATTTAATTTCACAAATTCATAATTCATGAATAATTTAATTCTCCGATGATTTGTAAAACATGTTAGAAATAACTTATAAATATAATTACAGAAATACTTTAAACACTTAAATTAAAGAGTGTTTACAAATCAATCATTAATAAAATTATTACATCAATAGTGAAAGTTTAGCTCACAAATTCTATCAATCGTACTAGCCTTTATATCGGCATAGAGCGAGTGATACTATGGGGGGGTTTGGATAGAAACCAAACTATAGTTTCAGAAGTGTTTTTACAGTTTACGAAGTAAATATGTGGAGGAATTTACCTCGTTTTGTGGAAAAGTGCTTCTGAAACCATAGTTTGGAGGTTGCCAAACACCCCCTATATATGGAATCAACAAGCTCAAACGGTGACTAAGATCCCGTTTAGTACGAAGCATTGAAAATAAGAGATTGACATTAAAATTGTAATTGAAAAAAATCATTAAAATAGTATTTAGCATAAGTAATTGCTCATTATATGTGATTAGGCAAACTCATAGAGATAGGATTAGGGAATATCACTTCCCGGTATTCTCTAATCCTACATATATATGTTTGACTAATCTCATATAACAAACAATCTCTTATATTAAATATTCATTTAATAAATTTTTTCAATTACAATCTGAATCCTAATCTCTTATTTTTAATGCTTTCTACCAAACACAACCAAATAGATATGTTAGGGACTTATAGCTTATAGGATAGTGTGTGAGTAACGTGGAGTTGAAGAATGTGGCGCCAATGAACAGGACCCGAGCAATGATTTGACTCGGCCCCTCTGTGTTGCGTTAGCGTTAATGTCTTGATGATCATTATCTGAAGGTGAAGCCACTTCGCCATGGATCAATTTTAAATATAAAGGCACACCTTAAATTTTGTTAAAAAAATTTATAAACTACACATCATGAATCTTCAACTTTCACTCTCAGATTTACTAGTTAAAACCAAGTTTGGGGAAATAAAATTCACCTTTTTACCTCATAAATAATTACATGCTCTTTTTTCTTATTTCAAATATAAATTATTTTAACCACACGTATCAATGAAAACTATTAAAGATATTAATTTGGAAAAATTGCAAAAAAAATCCTGAAACTGTAAAAACACAGATAGAAATCCTTGACAACTTCACTTTGGGTTTTGACAATAATAATATGTTACGAAGTTTTCAAAACCCAAAATGAAGTTATCAAGGGTCCTTATCTGTGTTTTTGTAGTTTTAAGGTCTTTTTTTGCAATTTTTCCTATTAATTTTGTCAAAAAATTTAAATAACTTTTAATATTTTTTTCAGTCAACAATATAAATTATTTTAACTAATTTATCAGAGTTAAGAATAGAAGTTAACTGAATATTTATAAAAAGGATAAAACACATTTTTTTTAAGTGCTCTTATATGAAATCGGAGGAAATACAAGTATATATTCAGTGCAATTGAATTTACAACCTTGTAGGAGGTTTAGGACCTTCAATGAAACCATTAAATCAGCAGTCTAATCCTATCCTATTATGCCAATTTTTTTGAAAAAAAAATTAAGATTCACATGATTGGAATTTCTAACTCCCACTAGCGAATTTTATAGTAAAAAATTTTACCTGTCATTTCCAAATTTTTAAGGTCCCTAATTGTATTTAAAATTGTTTCATGGTCCGCAACTGTCATTATCCCTATCTTAAAATGATGGAGCCTTTAATTAGACACATTCAATAGTTGACAATTCGGGTAATTTTTTCTATCATGATTTTGGACCACCCCAAGATTGCAAGTCCTGAAATTAATAGGATTAATTGGTTCGTTAAGCTTCATTACTTATATGCTTAATCTTGAAAATATATAATGTCGCCTAGGCCTAGCTCTATATATATATATATATATTGATCAGTTTGATTATTTTTCACTTCATTTCCTTGGACCAGTTTTCAGTATTCATTATTTCGATTTGATGAGCAAGAGAGAGCAAGAGGAATAGTACGATTTTAAAGTTCAAGTACTAATAATTACTGAATATCATATGTAATATTGTAGCATTCACTAAATCTTTCCCACTGATAACTTTCTTTTTTAATGTTTACGTCAATTCTTAGGTGAAGCATTAATTATTACGTTGAAAATTTTACCCTTCGTATTGGCCAAAAAAAAAAAATTCACCCTTCAATAAATCATATCACTTTTTATTATTATAGGTCAAAAAATTTTCGATTTTAAATATAAGTTACTTGTTGGGTATTCAATAATTGCTTTTTAATTTTATTTTTGTTGAATTTTTGTTGGAAAGAGAGAAAGATGTAAAAGATAGGAGAATGATTTTGTAAATGTAGTGGAAGAAAAAACTCTAATAAAGGTAAATATGAAAAATTTATCAATTTAATATTTTTTCAGTATTCTTTTCACTCCAAAATACTAACTCCGTTCCTGAATATAAGATCTTGTTTGACTTTTATTTTGATCATAAATATAAAATCCCAATCTACTTTATTTTTTATATTTATTCATTTTTTTCTGAGATAGTTCTTCTAATAATGATAGTTCTAACTAATACACTTGATTAGCAAGGATATTTTAGAAAAGACAGCACATATTTATTACAAATAACTAAATGAACTTATTTCCTTAATTTCTTCAAATTAGTCAACTAGCTTTTATAATTAGGACCAGATGTAGTATAAGAAGTCATTTAAAAAATTTTTGGTTCAAAATATAAGAAGTAAATTCGATAATTAATGATAATTTTTCACTGTTATTTTTTGTTACTATGATGAGAAAAGTTTTAAATTGAGAAGAGAGAGGAGATAGTTTTTCAATCATGAGGCCAAAAAAAATGTAATTTTTATCAATTTGAAACACATTATATTAAGAGAGTATGTGATTTAAGGACCAGAGTGGCAAGTGTTTATTAATGACGAAGAATTGTTCTAGATGCAGATATTTTAGCAAAATAACATTATATTTTGTCAAAATTAAGGCTATTTATTAGCTTTCTTAATTTGTGTGTCTAACCCAAAATTGGTATCTTAAAGTGGAGGAAGTATTACACTCCATCAATTTGCATACACTTGTCACTTTAGTAAGTTATTGTTATTACTATGTGATTTAAATCTTCTTTTCAATCATTTCTTTCATTTCCTTCTCTTCGTTCTATTCTTACTTTTGGATTAAAAATTAAATAGCTAAAATTTGAGCAGTTCACAACTATAGATTAACCGTAGATTATTATTAAAATAAAGGAATGAATGTAATCAAAATCTTAATTGTTCAATTTTTAATCCAAAAAAAAAATGAGATGAGGAGAACAAAAGGAAAGAAAGGATAAGGAGAAAATCCAAATAATCTTGAGTATTATTAACACGAGGGTGAGTAGAAAATATTTCAAAATTGAAGCACCTAGTTGAGTTTTTCAAAAGTAGAAGGATTCAATCAACATGAGAGGGACCTAAACTAACTTTTGCAGGCCAACAAATAGGATGCTTCTTCTTCTTCTTCGTTTTTTTTTTTTGGGTTTTGAAAATTGTTTCAATATTTGGTAAAACAGATAGTATGTTTTGAACAATGATGGGATTGGTGCTTCTGTGTGCCACAAGTTTATGGAACTCTGTTCTAACAAATCAAATTATTGAGAACAGCCTAACAGGATACTCACAAACACAAAAAAGAAAGAGGAAGAAAATAAAGCAAAGAGGATATGCCTCTCTGGTTATTGATGATATTGATAATCTCAACAGAACAAAGTGATTGATTATGCTCTCTAACCAAAACATTTAGAGAGAGAGAGAGAGAGAGAGAGAGTAAGGCATAAGCATAGAATTGTGATCCCAAATCAATTGAATGCATGCATTGTCCCCTTTTTGGGTATCCATCATCCTTTCCCTCACCCTCTCCTTCCTCTTTTTCACTTTTTTATTTTCATCCTTCATTCTCTCACCTCCATGCTTTTCCCCCCCATTTAGAAGCAATTATTGGAGACTCCCATTTTGTTAAGACACTCCCATACCAAGTTATGATACATTTATGATATCAACCGTATTTAAAAAGAAAGAGAAATACTCAAATTGAAGAGTTTGTGTTAAATGGTCTAACTCTTTCCCTTTCCATTAGTGGCAAATGAAGGTTATGTATTGAAAGGAAAAAACTTTGGAGTGTACCCTACTAGTCTCATTTACAAGACAAAGAGCGACGAAGTTTTTCTATTCTAATTACAAGGCATGTCTTCAATTTTACTTGTCACTACTTTTCCCTTGTACCTTTCATAAGGACAAAGTCGAGAACTTGTTAAATTTTTAGCCAGGGTTAATGGGTTTTAAAATCCTCTGAGTTGAGTAAAACATGTTGAAAATGAGATTACACATGTCACAATCTAAAGGTAATTGCTATTGTTAAAAACAAATGTGAATTTGCGTCATTGGATGAACAGGGCGTTGTGAACAGAGTACAGAATGATGGGTTTTCAGAGGGAGAGCATGAGGACAAGCAAAAGAGAAGACAGAGAACAGGAACACCTGCCCCACCCCCAAAAAGAAAATCAAAAGCTGGCAAAAGAAAACATACCTTCATCATTCTGTTCCTTCCCACTTTCTTTCTATCCTTTACCTTCTTTCCAGGTAAGCACAACTCATTGCATCAATCCCACTTCCTATTTTCCTCTCAATTCTCACTAACACCCCAATACTAATTCATAATTCTAAAATCTCGCCACTTCTTCCATTTCACATACATTCAAATTGATTAATAAACTATAATTTTGATTTTTTTTGGTATTTAATAATGTTGCTTCGATCCTACTTTTCAAATCCAAATATATTTGTTGATTGAAATTTGCGTGCTTTGATGGTGGATGAGGAAAGGAGTAAAAGTCAATCAATGGCTTTTTCACGAATCTCTTTGCCTAAATAATTTTTTTTCCTTTGTTTCATGATTTTCAACCCTCTCTCTCTCTCTATGTATACATAAACCATAAAGTAAGCAGAAGCTTTACTCTGTGTTGCTCCACTGAATAGCCGGTTGGTCACCGGAGTTGGACGGAGGAGAGTTGCTGCAAATGGATGAGTCATGGAGGATGCGCATGGGGTTAATGCCGGGTCTCCCTCGACGGCGGTCCATGGAGGATAGGTCGTCTTCCCGTTCTAGGCGATCCATCTTCTCCGGCGGTGGCAGCGGATGCGAATCGGAAAACTTAGACCCGGAAGACTTCGCTGACGTCTTTGGAGGTCCACCGAGAAGCCTCCTGGCACACAAATTCCCGAGGTCCAGTTCATTCTACGAGGAGATTTTCCGTCCGCCGGAATTCCTTTCTCCGGCGAGTAAAGGTGGAAGAAACCTGCCGGTCTTCAGGATCCCGACGAAGAACGAGGGATTTTACAGCGATATCTTCGGGTCGGACGATGACCGGAAATCGAGAGAAAGATCAGGATCGCACTCAAAGGCAAAGTCGAACTCATCCTCGGTACTGAGTTCGGAGGAGCTAAGCCCAGCCCGGCCAGCGATCGGCGATGACGTGGCATTGTCCGTCTTTGCTTCGAAGCTCAGGTACTGGTACTGGTCCTGTACTGCAACAAACAAACCACTCTGGCACTCTGATCATTCTGTTACTCGTTAATTGACATTTATGCCCTTTATCCATTGGTATATCTGCAGAAATACCATCAGTAAGCACTTCGGGAAACCACTAACCAGCAAGGAGGAATTTTTCCATTAAGCAATCTTAAAGGCTAAAATCTCCATTTGAACCCTAAGAAGTTTAGACATTCATTAGAGCAGCTAGCTAAAACTAGAGCTAACTGTGAAGCTGGAGATTTTATATGGAAAAAATAACTTTTTGTTATTATCTAATGTTAAATAAACTGGTAAAATAGATTTTAGAGCCTAGGCAACAGATATGCAGGCAATTTAACTTAACAAGATAAAAGTAACTGCTTATAAACACATTTTACATAAATTGAGATAAAATTCCTCTTACTTCTTATATTTCGTAAATCACGATTGAAAAGCTATTGATAAACTATTCCAAATGGGATTTAGCAGCTTTTGCCAACAAATCACTTGATGAATTAGCATTAGCAATGGAGAAAACTTGCATGCAGCTTGTAGGGAACTTCTTTAAAAGACTAGATAATGTATTACTGAGTAAAAAAATTTTCAGAACACCAAAGAAACTGCATGGAATTTGAGTATTGTGCATTAGCAAATCATTTAAGTCAAACATTTAGCTGTTTGATGCAAGTCAGGAATTTGGTCCTGAGACTGCTTCTTACTGATTTTTACAGGCCTATTAATGTCCCATGTAGATGGAACTCATTCACCACGATGCCTGAGGAACACTTGAATAAAGAAGGGAGGCCAATTTTTCCAAGTAACAGTCAACTATTTGAAGTTCAATATCAGGATCATGAGTACAAGGACAACTTCAGAAGCTCCCATTTAGGATTCTCAAAGAGAGTCTCATCCCCAGAAACCATTAGCCTTGAAACCAATTCATATCAGACTATCAAAGTATCCGTTGATGACTGGGAGCTAAATTCACCATTTTCTGCTGTCTCTTCACTTTGTCAAGAATCTGAGCTGGCAAAATCTGCAGTTCAGCATCACGTGCATCCGGAACAAATTATAGAACAGGATTTCGATGATGATGATGATGATGAAGTTATGAGCTCTTATGTCATAGAGGTAAACCCTAGCCTGAAAGAGGAAGATAGTGGATCTACAGCCATTGATGAAGCAATTGCATGGGCCAAAGAGAAGTTCCAAACGCGAAGTTCTGATGAAGATTCAAACATGAGAAATAATGGTGATGAGCGAGGCGCTGGAACAAAAGGGGATCAACCTGATGCAAGTGATTACCATGATGAAGCAACTGCAACAATTCAATCCCTGAAGGTAATTTAGCGTATTAAGCACGTAAATGAACATCATATTACAGATAAAAAACTTGCTAAGATGCAATGATAAACAAGGTCTTGAAAAAGGATCTTCGCTCATAAACTAGAACCCTGATAGTGTAGTCATTAACAAATTCTTGAACAAGATATTTAATTTGCCCTGCTTTAGATCATGCCTTTTGGATTGTTCTATAAGGCATTCTATTAAAGAGGATGAGTGCACATTATAACGCAAATAACGTGTTTCATATCAGGAAGTTGAAGAAACTTCCATCCATGGCCGAGCGAATCATTTGTTTATGGATATTCCACCTATTCCGTAAACTATTTTCCTTTTTCCTGAGTATAAAGATTTTGGATTGATTGTTCTGCTATTATAACAGAAGCCACAGGTGGAAACAGAGAAGTTGGACGGAGATATAAGATCGTGGTCATCAGGCAAGGAAACTGACATCCGGCTACTTCTTTCAACATTACATTACGTAAGACTTCCTTTTACGCTAATTTCTTCTTGTCTTTCACATTCAACTAGTTACACGTCACGTAATTTAAGGTTACAAGGGTGCCATTTTTTAGGATATGCTGCTAAGTTCTTGAATAAAAGGACGACAATTGGTCATTTTTAGTAAATGACTCGTTCATTCAAAAAAGTTTCCCTGCATCTCGTAGTCATGTGGAAGAGCTTAACAACAAACCCAAAAAGAACTGTGTATAATTTTTTTTCCATGAATTTATTCTCGCATTTGGAGGCTTGAAGGCATGCAGATCATAGATTATTGACGTGGTTTTTTGTTTTCATTTCTAGATTCTATGGCCCGAGAGCGGCTGGTGCGCTATTCCTCTCATGAACCTGATAGAAAGCTCACAGGTGAAGAAGGCTTATCAAAAAGCAAGATTATGTCTCCACCCGGACAAACTTCAGCAGCGAGGAGCAACCCAGAAACACAAGTATATAGCAGAGAAGGCTTTCTCCATTCTTCAGGTATGTAAATTTGTGTCATTTAAAGTTGACATCATTATTCTTTATCAATTTAATCCTCCATACAATATTTGTATCCTTTTAGTTCCTGAGGGTAAAATTTTGTTCCAACTACATAGCATATCTGATCTTTGGAGGTTTGTCTAGCATCTTTTTACCTTGAGAGGAGTAAAATTGGGATGAAACCATATTTTCAGAATTCCAGGTGCTCAAAGAAGACAGTATCAAATTCATAGTTATACTTATTCTTAGAGGATCAAATAGAGACTTCTGTTGACTTAATATCTTGCTACAAATCACTAAGTCGTGCCATCAAGTTTCTGATTCAATCGCTTATGAGTGAGTTTGTGTCTTGTTTGTTCATTGCAGGATGCATGGGCTGCATTCGTTTCTGAAGATGTTTCTTTTTAACTAGAGGATGACTCTTAGTTCCTGAGAATATCAAGTCGTACACGTATATGAGAAAGAAACATTTTATGATTGAAGTGTTTGTTACGCGCAGAAAATACACATAAAAAAAAATGAAGATAGAAGCTCCTTTGTACAAATAGTTGACAGGTTGATCTACTGTTTTGTTTGGTTATGATTGTATCATAAGTTGTTTGAGGCTCTTGTAAGTAATATTTTGAAAGTAGTTAAGAAGGCATTTGATTGCTTTTTCACTCTTAGTGTTTGACTTGTATATCATGACATGGAAACAAGGAATTATTAATTTATTTACTTGTATCCTTAATTTTTTTTCTTTGGACTTTTTAAACATGTTTCATTTAGATTTGAATTTTCTGAAAGCATGTTCTATTTTTACCCTTTTTTTTTCACTGCTGGTTATTCTATATGTAGATAAGCATGATTCTGTGTTTTAGAGCTTATTTGGAACCATGGTCTAGCTCCCCTACAAAATGCGGTTTTGACTGAAACAACTAATTACGTAATCCATGGATTCAAATACAGCCTTAGCATCCTAATGCATTTCGTATAGGGTTTCCTTAAAGTAAACAACAATGTGATCATGTCAATTAATCTCCGGACTATTCTGATCAAGGAGTAAAAACTAACAACAACAAAAATATCATTCTCTTTTAACATAATAAAGGCTTTTAACTGTTGTGTGATGATTTTATGAATTACTGAATGGATTAATGCGTCGCATAGAAATCTAAAACATGAATTGTATTATTCACAATTTATGTACAATATAAATTGATATAAATTTTATATTTTATATTCAATATTGATCATCGTCTGATGTCATGTTGCTATGGCACTTAGCTTGATCACAACAAAATCTCCCAGTTACTCTCTTAAACCTATTGTTGAACGAAAGAGAAGCTAATAAACAATGCACATGATTACCAAAGCACAACTTCATAAGACCAATTTTGAGTCTGTTTGGATTAGGGGTAGAAAAAATAGCTTATTTTTAATCTAATTTTTAAAAAAGTAAGATTCGGTAAAAGTTAAATTGAATAAGGCGAATTGTATTTGGATTGTAATTTAAAAAAATTTATAAAAATGAAATTAGTAAAAAGTTGTTTAGATTATGATTGAGTAAAAAGAAATTTGTTTAAGTGAAAAAAATAGGACCCACATTTTATCTTTTTCTCTCCACTTTTCCAACTCTATAAGCTGTAATTTTTAGCTTTTGGCTTAAGCATATGATTTTGACATAAGCTTTTAATTTTTTAAGCTCTTCCAAACACACTCAAACATATTAAAAGCCAAAAACTACTTAAAAGCCACTTAAACATGACTCCAAACAGGCACTGAATAGAGTACAACTTGTATTTTATCTATTTCTACCTTTAACTAATTCATGTAAATTTAAAATATTAGTTAATGTTAATTGATTATCTCAAAATTGCCCTCTTTTCACAAATAACTTTAATTGGTTAATAGATTGTACAGAATAACTCGTAAATAGAAATAGAGTATAATATAAAAGTGCCTATGTGTAGTCAAATGGTCAAAGTTTAAGATCAATGCTTAGGATCACAAACAACATGTGGTTCATGTAATGAAGAATTCACAATCCCTTTGGGTGACCGTTCATGTCTAAAAATTCTCAGGAAATTTTCTTCGAACTACAAATGGATCATTAGCTGATAGTCCACAAGTGCAAAATAAGGGCTGGCAAAAATTTGACACAAATTGAGGAGACATTGATTGAGAGTCTCAATATCATGTGGACAGCAAGCATTCATATACATTTACAATTATAGAACATAATATATGAAGCAAGAAATTCTTTAAGAAGACACAGATTACCAAAGACAAGTAAATCAAACCACCGAGGAAGACATATATAAACATATTAACACAATTTTCATTGACACCGACCTCACTTTTCATATGCACTTACCCAACCTCTAATGATTAAAGACCAAACTATCTTTAGTAATAATACATCAGCTCTCACCATTGTCATCCAGTTTTCTGCTTTATGAGCTCCCTAAATTCATCATCAGTACTCTTAAGCATCAAAGACAAAGGCATATTGATGCCACTTTGCACAACTTCCATATGCCTAGGCTTTATCCTGTTTTCCAAGCTAAAAGCAAAATACTGAGGAAATTCCTTCAGCTCCTCCAACTTTCTGCCCATTACCTCAGCAAAATACTCAAATTTGGGCTGGAAATTATTGTCAATACTAAAGGTCAACAATGCTGGGCATCTCAACACCATATCTTTTGTTTCTTCCTTTGAAAACCCCAGATTCTCCAGAAACTTCAGTTTAGGAATGAGAGTCCTTTCTACATTAGAAACCAACAAGACAGAATCTTGATAAGCCAGGGCTGACATATTCTTGAACCCTAGCCTCTGAAGGTAGAACAAAGCTGGCTTGAGCTGGTCTTTGACACTTGAAGTGAGCAACCTTGGGCATTTGTTAATGACCTTCCTAAAGCTATGATCTGGGACTTTAAGGTCCAGAGAGAGGAAATCAAAAACTGGGCTAAGCTCAGATTTGATGCTGGAGGTGAGAATCTTAGGGCACATACCCAGAATCTTGGGTAAGTCATTCTGTTGGATGCCTTTGGAATGAAGGAAGGAGATGATGGAATGGATGGATTCCATGGTTGCAGTTCTGAGATCAGGGTTTACTGAAAGTGCCTTGCCGGAATCAACACCCATTATTTCAAGGCAGAGAATTTTTTCTTTGAATTCAAGGGAGAGTCTGGTGTGTGTTGGAGCATAGAGTGGGTGCTTTTGGAGGAGGCTTTTGGGTTTGGGACCCAACTGGGTGTTTGGTTGCAGGGAATTTGGAGACAACGGTTTGTGAGAAGAGAAGCTGCAGAGGGAAGAGTGAAGAGCGGTGGCTCCGGCGGGAGCCATGGCGGAGACAGAGACTGGAGAAAGGGGGTGTGAACGCGCATGTGTATGTGTATCTTCGGCTCATACATGTTATCGTCGAGATGTTGCACTATTGTGGGATGACACGTGGGGGATTTTCTTGAATTTGATTGGTTGAAAATGGATTTCATAGATTGTCATTTTGATGGAATCGGTGTTCCATTGTTCCCATTCCTTGTCATATTTTTTCTGGCCAACGCCTTGTCATATTTTTCCATATAAAAACATATTTGATGTCTCGAATTTAATAAAAATAAAAATAAAAATAAAAATAAAAATTTTAAAAGATATTTAAAAACTAAGAAATATTTTTCAATTTTAAGAATTTATCATAAGTTGGCAAAAAGAAAAGAACTTATAATAAATATTTAGAATTAAATGACATTTCTTTTTTTTTTTTAAATGTAGTAAATTACTAAAATTTGATAATAAAACTTAATCTTTAAAACTAATTGTATATTTCAATATTATTTAATATATGTTTATTAATTTGAATCCTTAGGTAGAAAGTTAAGAATCTCAACGGTTTAATTGTAAACTAAAAGGCAAAATAATGTTTTTTTCGTAAGACAAATAATAATTAAGAATCTCATAAGAAAATTAACATAAAATAAAAGCCTCTCAGTTATACAAGTTGAAGTTATAAATTTTAAAATTTCTATTGTATACAGGTTCTTCTCAGTCGTAGGACGCCCAAAAATTTTCATGTAATTCCTCGTTTTTAATTTCTCAGTTCAAAAATCACTTATTAATCACCCATTCGCCACAGTACTTCTAAGCGGCGCGTACCAGCTTTCATTTTTAGGCAAGATGCCCACATTCACGTCACGTCCATCAGTCAACATGGTTTCTTGCCTTTGTCTTTTTTTTTTTCTTTTTAGTTTGCTTTTCCCTTAAATAAAAAAGGACTGCAAGTAAAATGTAAATAAACTATGAAAGCATAATTGGATTCAACAACAGCAACGCATCGAAGAGGAATGGCTGAATTAATCTCAATTAATAATCATGGAAACTAAGACTACA